CATAAACAATAAATTAATTTAATATGTAAAATATATAATGTATGTGTGTGTGTTTATGAGTATTAAATTAATGCAAAAGATTAAGTTGAGTATTAAATTAATGCAAAAGATTACGAATTTAAAGTTTAAAATTTTTAAATATGCGAAAAAGGATAAAACATTAAAGTTTATAATATATGATTATTTTATAATTAATAAGAGTATTTTTCTTGAAACTATTATTTCGTTCTAAATTTTATTTGATGAATACTTTTGCACTAATATAATATATTGTAAAATATATTTTATACTTGAGTATTGCCAACGTGTATGTAATATTATTCTGCATCGTATAATGTGTTATATATCTGCACAAGGTAAAAGAACGCTAAATAATGTAATTATGATGTAATTATGATATATCGATAATGACCAATCTTTCTTAACTTCTATTTTCCTAAAATGACATATCGTGTAAAAACTTAATGTAATGTGTATATTACGTTAATCCATTAACGACCAATATCATTTTTAAGATATAAATTTTACTGCGAATAAAATAGTTTAGTAACAAATGATGTTTTCGCATTAATTATTTTCAATATCTCGTTTTCAAATATACGAAAATGTTTGATATATAATGGTAAATTGTTCAAAATATTGTGGCATAAAAAAATGAGAGTAAGTGTAATGAAATATTACATTATAAAAACAGTCTTTAACTAAATTCTTAATGTAACAGCACGATGGTCTTTAATGGATTTATAAATTGGACACGAATAAAAATGGATGAGAAAGAGGGAATTGTTGAAAATAAATTAAATAATTTTAAGCGTAACAGATTAATTAAAATAAACCTAAATTTGAAAAGTTTAATTACCTTTTAATGTACCCTTGGCGGAAAAAAAACTGTATAGACAGGTCTTGAGACAGAATCTTAGAAATTCTTACTTTTTCATAGTGAAATGTAGAGTAGCATTGTTTGTTTTATGATATAAGATAAATATCAAAAAAGATTCCATTATGAATAAAAGTTCATAATACAGAATTTCTTGTTCAAACAAACACCACTCTACGTTCCCCTAAGAATATTTTCGTTCCCCTAAGAAAAATTAAAGATTTCTAAGATCTTGTTTCAATCTATGTAATTTTTCATAAAAATTTTTCCGCCAGGGACATACACATGTATACGATATTTTGGTATCTTTTTATTGTTGTGTATTACTTTGAATGTTGACTTTATAAGTATATGTATGTTTTAATTTTTTATTAAAATAAGTAAATAATTTTTAATAATTTATTTAACATTTTAATTTTTTGTCTAAATTGAAGAAAAGCAAACATTAAAAAAATATATTTTATTTAAAAAGAATTAAAAATATCCATTTTTATTCCATATTTTGTTTTTGATTAAATTAAATACATTAATTTAATTTAATTATGTTTACTTTAATTTTTCAACAAAATTTCACGAATATATATATCTTATGAACTCCAATACGAATAATTTTTGTTTCTAATTCCATTTTAATTCGTCCATTTTTTCCACGACATTTTGTATCTTATTTATTATCCGTTTATTTAAAAAATTCATTGTGTAAACGTGAATTTATACACTGTTGTGGAATGTTTGATATGAAGATGTGAGTGATACGTTAGGAACAATCTTAATTTTTTTTTATCCAATCTGATCTGATTTCAACATTTATATAAAAAAAATTTCAGTTACTGGACATCCTCTTCAGAAGTGGGCAAAAAGTTTATGAGGATAAAAAAAGTTTTAAATTTTTAATTAAAAAAAATTTATAATTATAATTATCCAGATAGCACAGAGAGTTCAAAAAGAATTCAGTATGTCATCAATTCTAAACTCATTTTCAGATACAACAAGAATTTTGTGCTATCTGGGTATATAATTTTTCTGATTTTCTATTATATAATACAAAAAATTAATTTTCCAATTAAAAAATTAAGTTGAAAATTAAAATATTAGCTGAAGTTTCACAACTTTTTTCTATTGTCTATTATATTGCGTATATAAATAAATTAAATAATAATTTTTATAATAATTTTTATACAGGGTTTTCTAGTATTTTTTGCATTTTCTTGTAACTTATTAAATTTTAATGTTCTATGTTTTAATAACTAAATTAAAATTTTTATTGAAATCCAATTTAAATCGCACATCAATGTTTTATCATTTATATACTGATATCTGTAATATCTAAGTTGTATTCATTGTTTTATTAATTCATTGTTTTATTAATTATCTTTAGAGAATTAATCAAAAATAATATTTTCTATTTTAAAATTGTATGAATACTTACAATTTATTTACATTCTTAAAACTTATAATACTTACGCAATAATGCTTTTATTTTCAATATACTTTAAAGTGGATTTTTCATGAATTCTTAGATGCCCTGTATAGAAATTACATACATTTCATTATCACATCGTAACATCCTTGATAACGTTACGAGTTCTACGATCTGACCTAATGACAGCAATTAATATCTCACTGTAGTTAGTAAATACATTTCATTTAATACGCAATTACTCTCTTATTTAATACAAATATTATAGAAACTTCAGGCAAAATTGTCAATCTCTTCAAATTATTTTTCTTTTTTTGATAGAAATGTAAAAAGGATCTTTAGATGAAAGATATTTTATATAAAAAGATTTTGTTTATTGTATAATCTAACTTTAAAATAATGGAATAATATAAATTTTTCTATTTAATTTGTTTTATAATTATTTTTAAAAAATTTCTTTTATATATTTTCTACATATTTTTACTGTTGTCTTAATATTTCTATTTTTATGTTAATTAAGAATAATAGGACAAAGAAAGAAATCATTGCATGTTAACATATTGAAGCAAACTGCATAATCACTTATTTACATAACATAAAGAAGAAATACATTATACAAAAAAAATCTAATAAAAATAACGCCTCTTTTTTTTATAACCCTATACCTCTTTTACACTCCTTAATATCGCATTTTAGACGAGGACAAAGATGCCAAGGAAACAAAGGAGCAGGAGACTCACGAGCAGCAAGTGGTGGACGGTGAATAGAAAATGTATTGGTTGATGGAGATCACATCGCGCCCTGATTGGAACAAGATGACGATTTTCCCGAATGATATAAGGAACAACGGATAATGATAAATCAAGGTAACACCCATAATCGAAGGCGCAGTGAGTCCTTAACGTTAAAACACGAATGTACGATATTAGGGAGAAATTGTTTAATATATATATAT